TCCTCTGGTTGGCTGTTGGGATCCTTCCAGTCTGCACGTCTCCGTGTCTCCGTGTCTCAGTGTCTCCGGCTCTGCTTGGCTCCAAACAGCAGCTCCAGTTATTGTTCTGTAACCAGAGCAATTTTTTTTACTTGATTCTTTGATCTTTGTTGAAAACCACATGAATTGTATTTTATTTTTTTAAGATTGTAAAATGCTACAAAAATTTGTTCAAATAACAATTAGGAGACTTTTACTAGAAGAATTAGAGCAATATAGATGCAAATAAAGGCTTTTGGTGTTCCATGGCCTCTTGAAGTGGTTTGAGCTCATTAAAAGAGCTGAAGGTGAAACAGAGGGGCTTCTGGGTGGCATATTGGACTTAAATTTGATACTTAACTCTGTTATGCTACACCTTGCATTATACCACAACTTTATGCTCTCATATATTTGTTGGATGCTCTTCTGGAGAAAAAGAGCCATCCTGTACTTTTCTGACTTTCATTCTCTGTCTAGTTTAAAGTGTTAGTGTTAAATGTCAGCTGAGCAGATTATGCAACAGTGCTGGCCTTGCTGCTAGTTTATGCTTTTATAGTCAATAGGAAGTGTGTATAAGCATGAATGTCAAAATTATTATTATCATTAATAACACAAAACAGTATTACTGTAATTGTAATATTTCTTATAATTATTGCATGATAATGGTAATAACTGATGGTTTTAATTATATTTACTGAGTGTTGCTGCTGTAGGAATTAATAATATCAATAGTTATTAGTGCTTATTAGTGCTTATTAGTGCTTATTATTATTATTATTGTCAATTAATAATACAAAGTATTAATAAGTATAGTCATAATCATGTTTATTTTTCTCTAATTAATATCAATAGTAATAACTATTTTAGTTGTAATTAGAGTATTCATTATTATTATTATTATTATTATTATTATTATTATTATAGCATTTCATAATAACAGTAGAAAATGATAGCTGTAATTATTTTATTTATTAATATTTTTATCATTATTATTGTTAGTTGTTTTTCCTGTAGTGTGGTATGTAGAGGTATGATTTCAGTCAAAGATGTAAAGAGTCAAAAACTGAATTCTGTCTCATCTGGCTGCATGCATTCCAGCAGCCATCTTTCTAAAGGGCGCCCCTTTGGTTCCACCAGAAGAGCTGGTAAGTGTCTCTCTATGCTGCACTGGAAATACGCGTTGAGTTTATTTTTGTCTGCAGCCATCTCAAATTGCAACAAGCTGATAAGCTGAGCAGGAAGAGAAAACAGAAAGTGTTGATTTTTCACAATCAATGTACTATTTACTTCCTGTTTGTGTTTCACTTTAACGCATCAAAAGAATCTGAATTTAAATTTCTTCCTTCTATCTAGCATTTTTTCGCAGGTAAGGTAGTAGAGCATAGTATTACGAAAAAAGCAACAGAAAACCTTAATGCTCTCCTGAAGAACACACATTTTTTTAAGGCGCAGAACAAGATCACTGGCACTTGAATTTCTTGACCTAAAACCTTTGCTTCAGGTTTACCCATCAGTCAGACATCTTTTTCTTCTTCGTTAAATGCCTCCAGTACTTTCCTTTTTGCTACATGTTAGCTCTCTCTTTGTCATTTTCACAGACCCCCTTTTTTTGTAAGTTCATTCATGCTCTGTGTTTTGCAGTCAGCACCCAGTTGGACATTTTTCTTGCAGACAGGCATGTGATGGTGGGGTGGGGAGGCTGGAACACTGAAGTGAATTAAGACTCCTGAGAGCAAATAAGGCCATGAGACTGAAGCTGAAATCCTGAGGATATGAAGGAGTGAAATAAGAAAACATAAGTCTTCCTCTGTGTGTTTCTTATGACATTAGATGCTTTATCTGTTGCAAATTACAGCGTTAATTGCTGTTTAGAGTAAAGAGGAAGCTGAATTTGCACAAACATAGGAGAAACTGTTCATGACAAGGAAAACAAACTCTGAAATCATGGGACAGTAGTAGTGTTGCTCCTCTTAAAACCTGCTGGCAAGGAGCTTCCTCCCAGTGATACCCGTCTGTTTCCTCTTCCTGTTTTGGCCTGTGCGCGGCAGAGGCCGGCGGAGGGTCACACCGTTGGTTTGAATCCACAAATGGAGGGGAAGGAGGAGGGAAAAAAAGAGGCGTGAGAGCACCACAACAGAGGTTTGTGTGTTAGTAACGCGGTCACGTCCGGATGGAGCAAGAGAACAGAGATGGAAGCAAAGTCTGGCATGAGGAAGAAAAGAGTTTGGAGAAGTGTTTAATTAGAGGGATGACAGGTGGAGGAATAAACTTTGTAACTAAGATAAGCGATTGTGACTTGAAACCAACAATACTTCAGCTTTAATTAGCTATGAATTAAAGACTTCCTAACTTTCTACTGGAAGTCATAATTCTCTACAAATGTTCCTTTGAGAGGGATGGAGTTCAGTCTTTAGCCCCACAGACTTTTAACATGACACAAAGAAGAAACTACATTGGCATCTATTACATCTCCAGATTGTCCAGATCCCTGGGACTTCCATTTAAGATTTAAGTCTGAGGTAATTATTAGTGTTTGTTGAACCTGGTTACAACTTTTTATAGAGTTCCAAACATTATTGATATTAGTTGTCTTGGGTGTAGCAAGATGTCTTCACTGGGAGCTTGTTGGGAAAGTAATGGCCATTCAGGGACTACATCCTTTCAAACGCCAATTGCACAGCAATGTGACGAAGGCTGTCTAAATTCAAATTCTCCTTCCAATGAGTCCTCCTTTTTCCCCAGATGTGAAGGGGACCGGTCATAGTCCACCTTTTCCTAAGACTTATTGCAAGCCAAACAGAAGACTTGTGTTGTTGTACCAGTGGCAGATGAAGCAGGATAGTGGGTGCACAGGGTCTGAAGGAAAGGACCGTAGCTTTCCCTTCCAAATTCAGAGAATGGTACAGTCCCTGAATTTGGACAAAACCAAGAAATCCTCAGAGTGGAGAAAGCTAACAAGCTAGTCATATGGACACTGATCCATTTGGCCATTGGTTTGTCAGATCAACTGATCTAGAATCTGTCAGAATCTATTGTCTGCAATGCTGTTACACAACTAATGCAGAATCCAAAAGTAGACTCTGTTTTTTGCGGTCTTCATGTAAAAATACAAGTTTTAGCAGAATTTGTGTAGCGGGCAGACTCGACCAGTGAAATTTTGTAAAAAGGAGATGGAATCACATTTGTGGAATAAGTTCTGGCATAGTGGACACTCCCATACATGGGGTGGATCTGTGCCTTACAGAGGCATGAGATGTTAAAATTTCAGAGTCAAAACCTCCAGTTCAGAGGGGAGGACTCTTCTTTTTTTTAGGATGTGTAGTCATGCTAGCTTCTAACCTCTGTTTCCTGTTTATTACAGACATGAGTGGTGTCAATATCTGACAAAATTATACTCTTTGTAGCCTGGTTGACTTGCTTCATACCAGTAGATGGAAGCATGCCTACTTTGCTTTTTCCTTTTATGACATTTTAATAGTTCAGACAAAAGTTGCATGACAATTGGATGGAAACACAGATTTGTTATACAGCAAAACTTTGAACTGGTGTTATTTGAAGTGGATAAGCAAACGTAGGCTGAAGACCAAGGTTTTACAACTAGGTTTGTGTTAATAATCCAATGAATATTTTTTTAATCAAATAATGAAATTATGACATATACCGTATTTTCTGGACTATAAGCCGCTTCTTTTTTCCTAAGCTTTGAACCATGCGGCTTATAGGCCGGTGCGGCTTATATGTGGATTTTTCTTCAACCACCAGGGGGCTCTAGAAGGAAGTGAATCATTGGAATTCAAAATTGGAAATAAAAGAAGAAACCGCCCATTAAAACGGAATTAGGTTTTAATAGGGAATTGAAATTTGAGAATGTTGCTGATCAGTTAAATAGCATTGAGGGGAAAAAGAAGATTTTTTGTTTTTTAAATAACACTGGGAGATAATATTGGGAGAATTTGAGGTATAGATATTAGGATTCAATAGATGGCAGTAGTGCAACAATAATGGATGCAAGCTGCTGTTGAAATCTAAAGAAGCAGGAGAAGAAGACACCCATTTTCATTTAGCACATGCTAGTAGCAGAAACGAAGGAGATTTTTCTCTTCAAACTCATACACCCTCATAATCAGTTCAGTTAAATCTAAACTTGGCAACTTTTTCTTTATCAACCATAATAAATGTGACCTGTTATGACTCAAATTTTGGGTGTTCGCCCCCCTCTGCTGCGTTCTGCATCGTTGTTGAAAACCTAGAACGGCAGAGATATCTGTTTACTGGTTTTTCTAAAAAAATTTGGAGGTGCGGCTTATCCGGATTATACAGTAATTAAAACGGTGGACAAAAATGGTAAAAAGAAATAAATAAATATTTTTCACTATTAAAGATCAAGCATGTAATTTCACTTAATGAATAATTTATTGGTGATATTTAAGACTAAAGATTTTTGATTGTACATAAATCCAAGTCTTGGCTTAAGGGCTGAACTTGATGAATCAATCTGTGGAAACTCAAGGCAGATGTTTATTTGTGTCACATCTACCAAGTCTGTGAAGACAATTATTAAAATTAAAAAATTGCAATTTAACAACGGAACAACTAGCATCACTGTCAGCCAAAAATAAGTTTCCTCAAACAAAGAAATCATGATGAGCGTCACATGACCCAAGGCCTACAAAAGGCAGGTTTTCTTTGTTTCTGCTTCCAGTTGGACAAAGGTTACCAGAGGGGAAGTTTTATTTTAGCCTCCAGTTGACTTCATAGTGGGTGTGTCTCTGGGTTTCCTCAGAGTATCCGCAGCTTGCCTAACAATACCTCACTTATGACATTCACCACAAAGCATCAGAGAAGAATCAGACTTTTTTAAAGCAGAAAGTGGTTAAAATTAAGTAGTTGCGCCTCATTCCTTTTCAAACCTCCTAATGTGTTCATCTTCGTACAGTCCGGAGGGTTAAGAATGACTCTGTGAATTCCTGTCTTTTCTGCAGGCTCTTCTCCCTCCCCGTCATCTAAGAAGCCGCGAAGCAGAGGCCTATTCTCCGGCCTGTTCTGTTGCCTTTGCCGGGACCAGCCTGAACCCCCACCCGTCAACAACAACGCCCCTCTCTTAGTGGAGGAGAATGGGACAGTCTCCAAGGTGTGCTTACTTCCTCCTTGGTTGAATCAGAGAGGAAAGTGTTGGGTTTGCAGTCAACATGTGTGTTTCTGTCCAGGTCAAGCCACTGCTGCCTCCAGTCAAGTCAAAAGACGCTGGGAAGATCTGTGTGGTGATAGACCTGGATGAGACGTTAGTTCACAGCTCTTTTAAGGTGAGTCACAGGGGGATTTATGGGTACAACAAAAACATGACAATAACAAGGTCCTTGGGGAAGAAATTGTTGCTGTCCATCAATGTGGGAATGGTTGTAAGGCCAAAATATCCAAAGTCTGTAGAAAGCAATTAATGTTTGCCAGTCTTCCCGGAAGTAGACCTCCCAGCAAATCCACCCCAAGGTCTGATGGTGCTGAGCTCAGACCAGGTTCAAAGGTCAGATAACAGGGTTCGAAACAGAAAGGTGGAGGCCTTCAGTTGAATAAATAAGCTGGACGTGAGACCTCTACTCCACTTTAGGAGAAAACTAAATCTAACATGTCAATAGTTAGATGTGAACTGCAGCGTTCCTGCTTAGTCTGGAAAAGTCTGGAATTTGATTCAAGTGCTTTTTTATGTCTGGATAACTGGAATAGGAATTTTGAGAAATATTTGCTTTGTAAACTTCTGTCTCTTCCCTTTTCTTTCCTCCTTATTTTTCTCCTTCCATGTGTCCTTCTTTCCTTGCCCAAGACCTTTTTTCTATGGTTTTCATTCATTCATTTTTGTTCATTTGTTCCTTCCCTTCTTACTCCTTCTTTTCTTCCTTCCTTTGTTTATTTTCTTTTTGTTCCTTCTTTCCTTCCTTTCTGCCCATCTCTTGAAATATTCAGTCTTCTATTTAAGAGTGTTCCTATAACCACAGTGAAGTTCATTATTTGCTTTTTGGTAATATAATAATCTTTGGAAATATGAGTCTGGAAAAGTAAACATGGAGAACTTGTAGGAACACAGTGGTGGGAGTGTGATGGTGGGGACTTCTACTGCAGCTCAAGGACCAGGGCAGCTCACCCACTGAGTTTACTGAAGTCAAAAATGTTTTTTTTCCATATGTAAGGAAAATGTCTTAAAGAAACCAGAGACCAGCTCAGTTTCTTTCTGTTTAACTCAGTCTGTTCCTTACTGTCAGTGAATTTCCATCAACTGACCGGCTGGTTTCTAAAAACCAGAACAACACCTTTCCATGCAAATATTTATACAAAGTCTTTTTCATTCTCCAAAAGGCATTGCTATATTCTTTACAGAGACGCTGGATGTTTAATTACTAACGTCTCCCTGTCTGTCTCTTTCACCAGCCTGTGAACAATGCAGATTTCATCATTCCCGTGGAAATAGATGGAACCGTACACCAGGTAACACCACTCTGTCATCTCCCCATGTCTCTGATTGGCTGAGTCTGCAGGTGTCATCTGAGTTCAAGTGACTGACAGAGCGGGATGATGTGCCTCATGGCTCTGGGCCTGATTCAAGTAATCCAGGATAGGTTTGTTCAGACAAGCACAGCCTGTTCCGGATGACTTGGTTCAGGAACGTTGGCCTCGGACACCAATGCTGCCGCCTTCAGGAGAACCTCATCGGCTCACATATGCTGTCTGACTACCAGCTATGCACATACCTTGATATTCAGCTTCAGATGCAAGTCTGATGCTGCCCTCAGCTTCGTTTTGCATTCAGATATATTTGACGCTGTCGACTGGAATCTGCAGAAACATGTTGCCTTTCAGAGAAAATTAGGCCAATTTGAAGATTCCTGTGTTTCCAGGTATACGTCCTGAAGCGGCCGCATGTCGATGAGTTCCTGAAGAGGATGGGAGAGCTCTTCGAGTGTGTCCTGTTCACTGCCAGTTTAGCAAAGGTAACAGCTTTAGCATGGAGGACGATCTGTCCATTTCTGTACAGTAAATTAGAAGGTAATCCGTAGTGGAAAAGCCTGACCTTTGACAGTGCTTGCAGTAAATAAAAACATGTCAAAGGAGACACTGTTAGGCAGTTGAACATTTGAAATAATGTTGTCAAGCAGGAACAGGAAATATTTCTAAACGTTTGCAGGCAGAGGTGATGCAACACGGTGTAGAGTGATATATTTCTAATCTGTGAAGAAATACAAAGTGATTTGCAATGTTTTGAGTTTTCTTTCCACAGAATTTTGAGTTAACTTGTGACTATGACAAGCTAATTTACAAAAAACTGCAGGGAGAAAGGATCTCCTGCAGCAGTCAGTCTTGCAACACACAATAAGAAGCCTCTGACTGAAGACTGTCACTATATGTCCGTCATAATATGCTAACAGCTATTCCAGACTAACATGTCATGTATGACACTGGTAATTCTGCTCATTTGCTTTTGCCACACCTTTTTAAATCTGTCTGCTCGTACGGTTAAAGAGGTGTTGGAGTAAGGGATGTGATGCTCATTTGTTAAGATTTCTGCTTTGGATTTCCATCTCATTCTTCATTACAGTTTTGAAAAATCATTTGCTTATGCAAACCTTTTTTGGCCAAACAACTTTGGAAAATAATTATTTTCTTCTGGAGAGATTAGCATCTGCTATAAATGTTTTACACTTTGCAGTAAGAGAGTGGGAATAGCTGAACATCGACCTTTGTTGATATCTTTCTGTCTTGGCGTTGTAAAATTCACTTTTTGGACAATTCACAAATTCCACTTTGACTTATTAAATTACACATTTGGTTGTGGGAAAACTTACTCGATTATATATTTAGTTTTATTGATGACACTTTTCTGAGATCATTGCCTGCTGCTCTGACACAGGCTCATGCTAACACAAACCAAGCGTCTTTAAATGGGTCCTGTAAATCTGACCGTGTCTTTCCGTCAGTACGCAGACCCCGTCTCTGACCTCCTGGACAAGTGGGGGGCGTTCCGCTGCCGCCTCTTTAGGGAGTCGTGTGTTTTCCACCGAGGTAATTACGTGAAGGACCTGAGTCGTCTGGGTCGTGATCTCAACAAAGTCATTATTGTGGACAACTCCCCCGCCTCCTACATCTTCCATCCCGACAACGCAGTGAGTGCACACTCAGCCTTCACTGTCTCTGGACATTTAATCTTATTTTTCTGTGACAGCTGGCTGTTAGTCATTGCATTGAGTTAAATATTCTCCATATTGTCTCTGTGAAGGTTCCCGTTGCTTCTTGGTTCGACGACATGTCCGACACCGAGCTGATGGACCTCATCCCGTTCTTCGAGAGGCTGAGCAAAGTGGACAACGTCTACACAGTCCTCAAGCAACAAGGGACTCCGAGCTAACACTGTTGAGGTCTTCACCTCAGCTCCGAACAAAATGCCGTAGAAACAAAACAGAAAGAGAGAAAAAAGCCGAACACACCAGCGAGGCTGGAGCTCCACCTATCACTGCCCACCAGAACACAACGCTGCTTCACAGCTGACAGACCCTTCACCCTCCCAGTAGACAACCAGCTTCCTGACCGGCACTGCCATCTTCTGGTCAAACACAGACAGGATGAATGAATATTTAATGACACAGTGTAGCCACGAATCCTCTGGATTCCACCTGGGTACTGGACGCTGATTTCTCCATGGGATGCTCCTTTAAACTGATCTGAAAGGATTTTTTTTGAAAGGTTTACATGAAAGGACATGTGTTCCATCCAAGCAATGCAGATCATTCATGTCTCCTATGCATGTTGGACCAGCGTTCATTTGACCCTTGTTTTTAGCGCTGTTCTGGAATCATCAAGGCAGTGTTATAAAATAATCTCACTCAAATTAATTACAGTCAGAGCTGTAAGAATTTAACATATTAAAACATAAGTGATTGGACAGCACTTTACTGTTTGATGTATAGACTATAGTGCAACTGATGATTTTTGTGCACAAACAATGTTTAGAAAATAGCATAAAAGTTAAAATTTAGTATTATTACTGCATAATTCCCCACCACTTCATGCTTTTAAAAAGGCTAGATTTGATCTTATTGAACCGGAAAAAGAGCAGCTCTCAGTGGTTGTTGGGTCGATAAACGCCATGACCAGTTGAGTTCAGAGGACCAGAACTGTCTTCCAACCCAACCCCTGGAAACCAGTCACTGTTAATGGTGCATCACAACTGTGTCGGATTTGTTCCTTGCTTTAAAGCCACGCACAAATCGTGAACTTTTTTTCTTCTTTTTAACTTGGGTTTAACAGATTGTATTTAAAGTTCTGTTGTAGTGAAACAGTAGGCTTGAGATATTTACTTCCCTAGGCGGTACTTGTAGCCTGGAGGCAAGTTTGTGACGTTAGAAGATGCTTGTTTGGGGAGCATAAAACCATCTGTTGCAATAAATGGTTTGGTTCAGTCCAGATTTAAAGGATAAATCCACCTCGAAGCTGTTCAACACTATTGGTTCTGTTACTTGGCTGAAGTTCTTCATCTTCTGGACATAAATGGATGTAATATTAACTCTGTAATGTAGCGCAGCCATGTTAACATTCTTTCAATTTGAAATATAATCACAGAAAATAACAACATCCACTCCTTAAGGTTTTTTTTTTAATATATTATTGAGCGTTGCTAAAGGCATTGTAGGAAGTGTAGGAAATCACTATGTACACAATTGCTGACAAGGTAGAGCTGATTTAACGCTGGAATGTGTACCTTTTGTCAATCTCACCTTCTTGGAGATCGTTTTCCTGGTCTGTTGGAATGAAGAGCAGCACATTCTCCAACAATCCACTGTTCCACGTTTGCGATGACAATGGCCTGTATTGACACTGATGAATGAAAACGGTGGGTTAGACTATGAGCCTGGGTAGCAGGCTTTGGATGGGGCAGGGAGATTAAGAGCTATTGAATTATTTATATATATATATATAAAAAAAACTTTTCAATCAAGTTAGCTTGTTGTTTTTGAATACTTACTGATTTTAATTTGTTATTTCACCAAGGAGTGGTCATCTGATACAATATTTATAGTGTTTTCCAATCAGCTCTTTTTTCTATGCAAGACTTGGTTGGATACCTCATATCTTGGTAGAATATGGATCAGAACTGCCCACAGATAACTGAAAATATAGTACCTTACTGTTTTAGGCACATAACAGGGTAACTGTTTTAAAATGTGTTTTCCATGTAAGCCATCGTCACGTGTGTTAGATTCAGAAATGACGCTATTTTCAATTCATTGGCAAAGTATTTATAGGAACATGAAATCGTTTAGTCATGTGATTACATTTATGAGTATTGCGTCACTATGGGGCCCATTTGCTGATACTGTACTTCTTACACATTAATAGATATGTATATGTTGTTTTGCACAGTAATAAAGCAAACAAATTTCATTAATATATATGGAATATTCATTTTACTGTACTCATGATGATTAGATGTAACCTAATTTTTGACTTTTGTTGTTTTCTCATACCAAATACTGTATGACTGTATGTAATATTGCCATCTTTCTCTCTCTCTCCTATAAATGCTCATTGCAAGATGGTCCAAGCGCTACTTTGTAAAGCATTTTCTGTTCAAGGGGATCAGAGAAATGTGTTTTAAAATGGAATTCTGACAAACAGTTTTCCAGCCTGAAATTTTAGCTTTTTCAGTCAGCTTTTCTCTCAACCACTAAATACAAATATATACTGAAAATCAACCAGACGTCTACAGTTGTTGGGATTTATTGTCTGCATTGTCCAAACACAAGTAAAATCTACATTTCTGGATAGCACCGTTCTGCACAATACAAACAAAAAGCAATATGATGGCTAAAATGTCCATTAAAGGCAATTTTGTGGTAAATGAACCAAATGTTTTATCAGTGTAGTTTTAGAAATGGCAATTCTAACAATATTGTTTAAAATAAGGATGAAGGTTTGGACAATCTTGAAACTAAATTCCCTTTTCTATGTCTATGCTGTTTAACATAACTTTAAAAGCACACACACACATCTATATAGTGAATCACCTAAAATGAGAAAATTACTTGTTCTAACAATATAACGTTCGTGAATTTATATCTTTGCTATAGCAGTTACCCTTCTGCATAAGGGACGTGAGCAGTGGTCAGAAAGGCAAACCATTACTAAAAATAGTTTTCAAATGTAATATAGTGAATATAAATGGGGATGTTGTGTTTGAGATACGGATCTTTGAAGGTTGACCATTAACTTTCGGTGAAATTCTGTAAAAAATAATGTTCTGGCTTCAAGCAGTCTGGGCTTTCTCCCTTTGACTAGGATTGCTTCCGGTTGATTTTTGACAGGGCCACTCAGCGAACAGAAGGAGGAGGTTGTCGACGATGACGTTGATTTTCTGCGCCGTATTAGAATGTACTTTTAGCAATGGGAGCGGCGGAAGTGAACGAAGCTGTTCAGTCCGTTTTGGCCATGCTTCCAAATACTGAATTGACATAAACCTTTTTCGGGTAGGCACTCTCTCTTCACAGAGGATGGTTGTTTCACAGAGAATGGTTGTTTACAGCTGGTAAGCTTCTTGGCGCCGAATTGGCGCATGCGTGGGTCACGTTAGCGATTGGGTAAAATGTCAAACCTCAACACATTTCTCATTTGCAGAGACGAGCAAAAAGCCCAGAACCTCTGCAGGAAGCAAGGCATAGTAAAGGGGCTGGTTTTTACCAGGCTAGGATCTTGGAAACCAGTAAGTGCTTTTTGTTTGCTTTAACCCTTTCATGCATGATTGTGTAAGTCAGGATTTTTTTCCAAAGTGTTGTTGATTTTGTCAAGGCATAAAAATAAGGTGGGGAAAAAAGTTTTTGTACTTTTTTTATAGGGTTGGTCCAAGTGTCCACTTAAGTGGACAACATGCGCTTACGTCTTTTCAACTAACGAAATGCTATATACTATAATGTGAATATATTTTGACATTAGTTAACAGAATGCATAAATATATAACATTGTATTCAACTTTCATCCTAGTCTAATGTTCACTACTAACTGATCCCTTAATTCAGACATTGATCCCTTAATTCAACCACTTGATCTCATTTTAGTCTTATTATGTCTCCTTCTCAAGTAGTATGATTTTATTATGGACATGTTTAATTTTATAAAACAAACGACATTGAATATGGCACCTAAGCCATTCTGTTGTTTTCTGTAACATAACAGTACTGTCTCTTCAGTTTCAGACTTATAAAGGCTATCTTGTATGAAAATGCGCAAAGCACCCAAGTTGCAAACAACACATTGGATGTAGATGTATTTAGTTTTGTCTGCAGGCTGGATCATTGCATGCTGATATTTTTGGTTGCAGTGAGGTAGGGCCAGTGTTCCCCAGACCTCAACCTGATCTCATGAGTATCTTAGACCAATGATGTCCAAAGTCGGTCCTTGAGAATCGGCATCCTTCACATATTAGTTCTCTCCCTGGTTCATCACACCTGGATCAAACGGGGCTCATTAGAAGACCTCAGGAGACATGCTGAGGAGGAAGTTACTACCACCAGGCAGAGAAATAGAACATGCAGGATGCCGGCCCTCAAGGGCCAACTTTGGACACCACTGCCTTGGACACCAGTCTGCGTTTCAATGGTGATGAGATGGCACTGGTCTGGATGGAACTCTCATTTATTAGTAGACAAGCTACAGATTCCTTGAAATATAAAAGATTCACCTCCCCCAAGAAGTGAAAAAAACACTTAGTATCATGTCAAGGGGAAGACCTGGCTCTGATGATCAATACATTCTTGACCTCAGGTATCTGAGGTATGACATGATTCCATATTTATTACTGGAAATGTCTTCACTTCCTGATCTGTTAAGGCCAGAATTTATTTTCTTTTTTGAAATGCACGCAGATTTGTAATCTGCAGGTCTTGCATCTCCAGTTATTTCATGTCCCTCAACATCTTGATTTACCTCAGTGATCAAAGATTTTTCATCATCCTCATGTCCACTATTGCTACCATTGGCCAGTAAAGTATAAAAACTTTACTTCTTAATGGACATCAAGTTAAGAACTAAAATATGCCAGTTTATTTACAGTCAAAATATTTGCTGGAAATGTTGCATATTGTAGATCTATAGTCAGAGTATTGATATCAA